GATGGAAAATTGTCAAATTCGAGACCGTAGTAGGTAGGGGACATACGAGGGCAGGAAAGTTTGAGGTGGGGGTCGTACTCTGCAGAAATTTTCCTCAAGGCAAGACGTGCTCTGTTTAGAATAGCTGAATAGACATCTTCTGGACCCATGGGTCCCATGTAGCGCCCGTGGGCGTTCTTTGCGGTGGATATCTGACTAAATCGTAAAAGAAGCTCTTATACATTTCACTGATTAGTTAATGGTACATGAGACATGATGCTCATTATCGAGTCGGGCGGGGGTTCGCTAACGAATGCTTTGATGTTGACATTCAGAAAATATGTCATGCGATACATGTACTTTTGATGTTCCAGCACAAACATAGTCTTGAGTTCATTAGAAATTCAGTTTCATTAGAAGTTTGACGCTTCCATATCATACTTACTCTTCCTAAGAGAATTGAATTTGCATGGAGCCTCGACCATTGTAAAAGATCGCGCCTGTCACTAGAGAAGGCTCTTAAGGTCCAGATGGCCCCTTGTGACGATAAACTATGATAAACTATGATCAGACGTATTTTGCGAGCTCTGAACTTGGACCAAGGAACGTCGAGCTTGTCTTATGCGCGAGCCGTGAAGGTTTTTCATTCGCGCCATGCTGATTTACCAGCATTCGTGATATCCGAACGCGGTAGTCAGAAGAACCTATGTCATCCTACTTTTGTATACCCCCCCCCCTTCCCTCATCCCATACCTATATTCCTAATTTTTCCATCTTCCCACCGGTTCCCCCAGTTTTTCGGGAAATTTTCCAGTTTTTACTCAATAAAAAACCTGCCATCGAGCGGGGGATGAAGGCCAGGTGGAACTCCCATCTGCCCAAACACGACCTCCTCCCTTGCTAGAAGAGCGTACCCCCTCTCGAGGGGCATTCTCTACAGTTGCCTTACCCTGCACTAAAGCTTAGGCGTGCCGGAGCCCGCACATGCATTCATCAGTCGTCCTGTACTTCTGCTGAATTCCGCATGCAGAACTGTAGGGAATTTTTGGACTCGGACTACCGTGATTTTTGTTTCGATCATGCAAAAATTATGAGAAATTGACCCTATTTCTTCACCCCTCGGAGAATCGTGAAATGAAGATTCCTGTCAGTTGTTGAGCCCTGTATTTCACGAGTGGAGCGCCGATCAAAGCTGAGGCTTGGAGCTGCTCTGGATGAAGGCATGCGTAACCAAATGGGATGTATAGGAACGCTTTTATTGGGACACCGTGTTGAGGGGTCAGAAGAGGGGCTAAGATTAGCGGCGGGGATATAACGTCGAAGGCAGTGTAAGATGAGAGGAAAAGCCCACGGGAACATATGAATCATATAGATGCTGTAACCCGGAACCAAGATGTAATAATTTCGGGCCCTACTCCTCGCACTCCCCTACAATTCGCAGCTTATGTACGGTGTGGGAGTGAGGCGGTTCCGACCTGTAAACGAAGAGGGTACCATATTATAGCCTGACAAGCTATGCGTGGTTAATTTTCTATAGAACACACAAACAAACAGTAGCAGATAGGCTCATTACCCTGGACCTGAGCGTTCAGACATCTCCCTAAGGCTCAGACATCTTCTTGATGCGTAGCTCTGGTGAGCCAAGTAAGGCTACCTTTCCAAACATGCCAAATGTATCCCTTTAAGGCTGGTATTGTCAAAAAAAGCTGAGGACTGTTGGATCCTACATCCTTGTTCAGCTGCTGCTTGTCCCCATGTATATTAGAAATTGTCGCCTTGCCCATAGACTTTAGCAGGCTCGAACCAGAAGAGAAGGAAGGAGCAGGAAAGAAGACTGGACATGGATGGAGATGATTCTCGTCGATTTTCTCCGAAGCAAGCCACGCATTTGACGTTTCATCTATAACTCGCCGGTGAGTCTGGCTGCATACTTTATCTACGCTGACACGAGCGGAGGTGATAGAGGGCAAATTAGTTTTTTTTTGTCTTCCCTGACAATTCAGCTGCGAAGTTAGCAATACTGGAGGGCAAAGAATTTGCTTTGACTTAAGCAACGTTTGATCAGTGAATTGATAAATGTACTGTACTCCTTGCAATGAGCCGCCTTCTATTATCCTTTCGCCTGAAAGGAAATACAAAGTGGGAAGCTTTTCGGGCGCAGTTCGGCGACGGGGTGGGGGGCATTTCGCACTTTTGCTACTACTTCCCATCGACGTGCCGACCTACTCGAGTTGACAGGTTTTACCATGATGGCTTGACGAGCTTGCTCCAGCTTCACAAGAGTTCACAGGTTTCACCAGAGTGAGACTTGTAAACCGGAACTAGTGAAGCAACGAAAGTACAAAGCCCACCCCCTCGCCGAGCTGCGCCGCCTTCGGCTATAGTTGCCTGATCAGGATAGACGTATGTATAGTTTTTGAATAGCAGTCATTGAAGTTGTAGATAGAACTCTTCATGGCTGGTCATTTTCCTTGGAAGTGCACTCGTACGGCTAACACATTTTATGTATCCCCGACGACAGTTTCGGCTTCTATACTTAGAAAACCTTATCAATACCTGTTTTATGGATCACCAGTCCTCAAACGTCGTCGTTGTGGTCGTTTCGCCATCGTCGTTTCTGCGCCATTTCACACCCACGCTTTTAATCTCAAGAAGACATGAAAAACATTCCGTGTTTTCTTGCTCGTAAACCTGTCATCGTGAAGCTGTAGGCAGCAAAATGCTTGGATAAGAGATAAAAATTGAAAATTCTTCGGATATCAACTGAAGCCATTCGATCCCGATTGGCGTCTGCCGCGGGCGAGGGATCAGGGCACGTCCTGGCACACTGGAAACTTTTGCGTCGATACAGTCCTCCATCCCTAACTAATTTCCCATCTTCCTACCACTTTTTTTCGAGGTTTCCCAGCTTTTCCCTGAAAATTTGCTGTCCGGCGAAGAAGTGTGAAGGAAGGGCCCATAAGATATATAACAGGAGCGAAAAAACCGCGA